TCCCCCTTCACGAGTACTGCATTCTCAGAAATTAGCAAGTGATGAATGCAGAGAGTTCCAACTGAGGCTTCATCAAAAGCTCAAGCTTGACAAGCATAGAGAAATATCCTTCCAAATCCCAGTATGCAAGTCATCAAATGACACTGCTTGCAAGGTTTCAGAGAGTGTGATTATCATGGAATAAATCTTAATAGCTCTCCAAGAAAAAAGTTTCTTTACTGACTTTTACCAGGATCCAGAAATAGGGATGTTTTGTTTTGTTTTTTTAAATATATTTTTATTGATTTTTTACAGAGAGGAAAGGAGAGAGATAGAGAACCAAAAACGTTGATGAGAGAGAAACATGGACCAGCTGCCTCTTGCACACCCCCTACCGGGGATGTGCCCGCAACCAAGGTACATGCCCTTGAGGGGAATCGAACCCGGGACCTTTCAGTATGCAGACCGACGCTCTACCACTGAGCCAAACCGGTTTCGGTGAGAAATGGGGATGTTTATTCACACTTTAGAGTGCTGGCACCCATTTCTAATTTTTTTCTCCAAGAATCACTCAGCTGGCAACTAAACTTCTTGACTGCTTTATCTTATTCCTAGAAATAACTGAGCCTGTGTCCAGACAATTTGGAATGGAAAGAAATCCATTCTCTCTCTTACACAAGAGTGCTTGAAGATGTTTTTATTTTTCTCTCCTCTTCTTTTTTAAGGTGTTTTTATTCCCAAGGACTATGACGAGGCAAATGAATCCACCTGGCCTCATGTGGAAAGGGAAGAAGGTGAAGTTCAAATGTCATCTCCTAGAGAGGCCTTCTTCTCTTATTCTGGTGCTGCCACTGTTTGCTGTCTGACTTTTCATCGAGAATGAACAACCCAGGGTTCCTGCCTGCCTTATTTACTTCTTTAATCTTAGGAGCTTAGACGAGTGTGTGTATAGGAGCCTCTTGTAATTATCTGCTGAATGAATAAACTTTCCGTCTTTAGTTTTTCTCCCTCCTGCACAGTGCTGGCAAAATTTGTTGTTTTTAACAATACATCTCAGACTACCTTGCAATGCATGAAAACTTCTATGGCTCCTAGTTGTGCACAGCTTGTCAGTTCCCTTTTCATTTTCTCCCTTTGCATTCAATGCCCTGCCCAATCTGGCCTGGATCTAACCTAGTCTCCAAAATACCAGAGAAGCAGTGAAGTTAAATGGTTAAGAGTATGGGCTAAAATTTCAGCTCCAACACCTACTAACTTACCAGACAACTGATTGTGGGCATATCTGGGCTTCAATTTTCTATAAAATGTATCAACAGTACAGCTACCAAATCAAAGGATTGTTGTGAAGATTAAAATAGTTACTAGCTCCAAAGAATGTGAGAGACATTCCCGACACAAAATAATAAATGCTACTTACTCTTGTCATAAGCCTTGGATTTTGGTTACATCAAAATCCTTTTTCCCTAAACAAGTCATGTTCTTTTATACACCCTCTTCTCCTTTTTCACGTGTGTTAGTTGGTAAGTCTACCACTGACTCACTATGACTGCATATGTTGATTAATGTGAAGTTCCTTAGAGCAAAAATTATGGAGTGCTGATTCACTTGATAAATGTTAAACCAGGATCATTACCTAAAATTAGACATTTTAATAGTTTGTATTTACATAAAAAAGTTCAAGGTGAACTTTAAAGTTTATTTGGTTTTTCTTTTCTAGTCACTTAAATGCTGACTTCTAAGAATAACCAGAGGATCAGAGAGCGTTCTCCTCCCCAATTTTGCAGACTCTCATCTTCCACCTACTCCTTTCTCACCATCATTTACAACGGTAATGCCATAAATACTGACCCCCAGGGCAGTCAAAGTGATCCTTAAGTACTAAGTTAAATGTAAGGGCTGTCATTACAACTAGTAATACTGATAGATCTTGCCTCTGCCAGTAATTACTGGCAGAAACTTGCCCAATAACATGGAAAAACACTTTTTTTTTTTTTTTCTGTTTCCTCCTACCTCCCACTCCTCCACCCGCTCCAGAGAGAAATGTTGAACTTCATAAGTTAAGGACAACATATTATCTCTCAACTAGAAACAGGTGAAAAATAAATGTCAAAGTTGTAAATGAAATGAGATTGGTAGATAATTTAAAGTTTGGAATATTCTGAGGACTCAGGAGGTTTGGGTGTTTTACCAAAGCGATAGAATCTGATCTGTTCAAGGATACTGGGTTAGCAGAAGCCTAGGAAAGGCAGGAGGAAAGCTTGCCTTTCAACACATGGTGGGGCAAGTCACAAAGTATGACAGATAACTACCTGCAGGGCTTAGATCCTTCCACATCCTCACTATTCTAGTCTAATTCCAGCATATTATAGACTAGGTAACCATTCATTATACTGTGTCCTGGTTGAGGAACAACCACCACATATAATGCTGTTTCAATGGGAAAGTATGTTCCCAGTTCTAAACAACTGGTTTATAGAAGACTTCTTGGAAAATGTCTCATTCATAAGCTGGGAATTGCAGAGTTGTAACCAGTTCCCTCTGGAGAGGATGTGCCAAGTTAGGTGTCCTAAGTTTTGCACTAAAATGAGTAATGTAGGATACTGGGCCAAATCCTCAGATCCAAATCTGGGTTAAGCAATATATAATATAATGACAAGAAAACAAGAGGAGACTAGATGAGAAATGGGAGTAACCAGAGGCTGAGACAGTAGAGTCAGACACACCAAGATTTAAAACCTGGCTCTTGGGAAGCAACTCTCTCTGACTGCCTTTCTCCCAGCTGCTCAGAGCTGCTCTTTATCACTATTTAGATCTCAGCTTAGACATCACACCACCAGTCAAAGGGTCTTCCATGACTGTCCATTGTGAAGACAGCCCTATCCTCAACCTGATCTATTTTCTTCATCACATTTAACCAGTTAACCGCCACGCTTCCAAAACTAAAACCATCCCCACATGCCACGTTATTTTGAATATAAAAACCAATTTGTAATGAATATTATAAAAATAATATATTATTCACAATTCGGGTGTTCTTGAATATTTTCAGCTGAAAATTCTCATGAAAAATTATTTTAAAGCTGGTCAGGGCTGCCACTTAGGGGAGACATTTTTTTTTAATAGACTCACGTGGTGTGTGGGGAAGGTCTGCTGCTTGTGTCTACAGATGCTTATGGCGTACAATTTAACCACTATCTGAAATTACCGTATTGCTTCTTTTTTGCCTCTCTCCCTAAAGAACATAAACTGTCATGAAAAATTTCACTCATGTCATGCACACTAGAGTATATGCCTAGCACTGTGTGTGGCACATGGAAGGATAAATATTTAACAAATGGGGCTACTGTGTGAAGATTCAGGAGTGGATTAAGTTATCTACCCACCTACCGACCTACCTCTCTCTGTGTCTCTGGTACAGGGCTACTATGCAGCAGATAAGTATTATAAAAGAAACAAAACAGAGGATGATACTATTATGAGTCAGAAAGTACTGAACAAGTTGGTCATGCCTCACAGCTCAGGAGAAACCAGGAGTCTAAAATGACTCTTCCGGGAAGCAAAGCAAAAACCAGCGAAAGATTGACAGCAGCCTGAATGCTAATTTTAAGTCTGCCAAGAGGGAAAAGCAGTTCTGTTATTTGATAAACTTCTTTAGTGAATGTTCAGAATTTATAGAAAACTAGAAGCTGCCTACCACTATGCTGATGTTGATGCTGGAAAAAATGGAAGAGTGGTTGTGGTGAGGGTAAAGCGCAGAGCGGCTCTGCATTTTCTCCCACAAAGTCAGTGAAAGGCTTCTGGCCCATCTTCCGCACACGGAGCGAGGCGAGGAAATTATGATAACAAAGGGACCCCGTTTCCCACAAGTTGCCTATAAGTCCATTCATCAGGTACGGTACCCACCCAGTCACACACTCTGCCCCTCCCCTAACCTAGACACATTTTGGGAAAAACACTGAAGAACAAGACCTTTAAGGTCTCTTTCAGCATTACACTTCCATGAAATCTTATCGGTGCAGGGATTCAGAAAATGAACAAACTGCTTTTGCAATATTTTCAGGAGAGTTTTTTGGCTCATACTTAAAAGTTGGAAAAGAGGATGTTTACTTAAGATAGTGGTTTTTGCACTGGCTGGTTTGGCTCAGTGGATACAGAGCTGCCTGTGGACTAAAGTGTCCTGGGTTTGATTCCAGTCAAGGGCACATGCCCAGGAAGCGGGCTCAATCGCCAGTAGGAGGCATGCAGGAGACAGCCAATCAGTGATTCTCTGTCATCATTGATGTTTCTCTCTCTCTCCCTCTCCCTTCCTCTCTGAAAGCAATGGGGGCAGGGGTGGAGGGAAGAAGAAACCTGAACTGTGATTATGAAAGAGAATGTCCTTGTACTTTGGAAACACATTTTGAAGACTTAGCCTAAAGGAAACATGATATGTAACATACTCTCAAATAACTAAAAACAACACATAATACATTGTATTTACATGTACAGAGAGAGCAGTGATTCTCAAAGAGGGACCCCTGAAGGAGCATTAGCATTACCCAGGAACTTGGTAGAAATACAAACTCTTGGGCCCCATCCCAGACCTACTAAAACCAGCTGTCGGAAGTGTGCCCGGTAGTCTATTTTAACAAGCCCTCCAGAGGATTGCACACTAAAGTTTGAAACCCACTGGAACAGAGAGGATAATAAAACGAACGTAGTGAAATGTAAAAATTGGTAAATCTGGGGAGAAGGTATTTGGGATTTCTGTACTATTATTGAAATTTTTCTGTAAGTTTGCGATTGTCACAAAATAAAAATTAACAATAACAACAACAAAAAGATTACCCTGGGGTGATTTATGTACATATGTGGGAAGGAAGAGACTGTGGAGGTAAGGAAGAAACCACTGGATTTTTACACAGGAAGTAAAGGGATTCAGAACTAAGGTTGCTGCAGCTCCAGTGTAGAATGAGGAGCGGTGTTTGCATGGTCTTCAAACAAATCTTCTTGTAGAGAATATGGGCGCCAAACCTACTAACCTGAATAGGAGAGTCCAGCAATCATTATAAAGAGGTCTTCTTCAGAAAAGCTTTCGGGAAGCATGAGGAAAGCAGCAGTCACAGCACTCCTCAGATTTTTATCTAGGGCTGCCCTAAGAGTGGCATTTTCATTCATTGCTATGATTTTCACCTGAAAAAAGCAAAACATTCAGAAGAGAAATTCCAGAAGAGTATTGCTCAAGATAAAGGGTTACGCATGCAATGGAACTGTCCCAAACTTAGCCCTGAAGATCTTGGAATGTTAGGCCAGTTGACACAAAATAATTATTATTCTAATAAGCAATCCCCAAATCTCTTGTTTTATGCTGCTCAAAATAAATATTTCTCTTAAATGGGTTTTGAAAAAAGAAGTCAGTAGAAATGAAATAAATGTTCTTTGGAAAAATTAACATTTATTTTATAATCTCATTGTTCTTCACTTACTAGTAATTTTATGGTAGACAAAGGCAAAATTTTACTTCTTTATTTAGAATTCAACTCTTCTGTTACTCATTCATAACCTGAGTAGTCCATGCTCTATTTCAAACTGATTTTGACTAATGAAAAAGAAGAAGAAAAAAGGTAGTATAGGAAGAGCATGCGTTTTGAGGACAGGTAAGGCCTCAAGTCCAGTTATTTCTTAGCTGTGCGCAAATTACTTAACTTCTCGTCTATATAATGGGGATTACAGACATGCAGCAAAGAACTGTTATAAAGATCGAATGAGACAATAAATGCAAACTGCCTAATGTACTAGTGAATGCCTTGATTAATAAAACAAAATTTCCTTCTGAATACATACCAAAAGCTACTATCTTTGACTTTCCCCAAATTCATGAAAATATAAATTGCTCTAGCCTATTCTGAGAATCTAGGTTTTAAAGACTGCACTGAAGTTAAGAGAATGTGTTCAAGTCCCAGTTCTATCTCTTACTTGCTCCGTGACTATGGGTATAATTGCTTAAAATGGGGTTAATAACAGAATCAAGTGCACAAGGTTGTTGGGAAGATTAAATGAGATGTTACATATGAACCCTTAGCTGAAGTGAGCTTCCTTCGGTGTTTCCTGGCGCACACGGCAAGAGCTTCTCTGGGCCAGAGGTTCTCACGGTCAGCAAGCATCAGAATCACTGAAAGGACTCTTTAAAACATATGCGGCCCATCCACCAGAGCTTCTCAATCAGTCGGCCTGGATGAGGCCTAAAAATGTACATTTCTAACAAGTTCCCAGGTAATGTTGGTGCTGCCGGTCCAGGAACCACAGTTTGAGAACCAACGCTCTAAGATATATACTTAGAAGTAGAATTGCCAAATTGCTCTTTGGAGTGGTTGAACCAATTTATACTCCTGCCACAATTTTTTAAAACCATCACGCTCCTTCTGACTAATTTTCTAAATAAGGAAAGGGTATAGAAGTCCACATATCTCAAACGTATGCTGGCAGCAAATTTTCCTTCTATTTTAGAAAACGGGGCTTAAGTTACCTTTTATTTGTTGAATAGAGGTAATTTCTGCCAAAATTAAAATGGTCATTAGACACATACATATAAGAAACTCCAAATTAAAATTTTATTAGACAACAAGGAAAGAGATTGATGTGTATCTCAAAGTATAGTATATTTTTAAAAATTAATCATAAATAAGCAGTATCATAAAACATAACTATTTTACAAATCAGGCTTAAAAACCTAACTTCTATCTTTTACTATTTTTTTCTAAGGGAATATTAACAACATAAAAACCTCTTATATGCTAGGTAAGCCACTCTATTCAATACTGCCTCCTCCCTTGTAATTACAAGGACTTAATGGCCCTTAATTAAGCCTTTCGGCACTTGGGTGAGTTTAATATTATTGCAATCATCTGCAGAAAAGTAAAATCAAGGAGCAGCCCAGCAGCAAGACTTGCCCAAGGTTGCATAATAAGTTGATGGCAAAATCAGGGAAACACCCTTATGCTTGGCAAATCCAACTCTAAATATTTTGAATTATTCTCATGCATTCAGTTAGGGATCTGCTCTGGTTAATTTCTTTTCTTTAAAGATTACTAAAACAAATGTTAAGGTCCTATTAATAACTCCTATGTTTATATCTTGAATAACTTTCCTAAACTTTTTCTCCCATATAGAATCATGAATGTAGGAAGGTAACCTCATCTTACTCATGGGGAGACTGAGGTCCAGAGAATTAAAAGGTTTCTCCATGAGAAGCAGTGGCATACAAATGAGGATGTGGATCCCTGATTCTCAGAGCTCTTTCTTTTCAAAACTCTGTAAAGCCTCACTTCCAAATTCTTCTTCCTCATTTACCAGGTCCTGCTCAATAATGCTTCACCCTGCTGGGACAGGCTTGGCTCAGTGGATAGAGCGTTGGTCTACGGACTGAAAGGTCCTAGGTTTGATTCCGGTCGAGGGCATGTACCTTGGTTTCGGGCACATCCCCAGTAGGGGGTGTGCAAGAGGCAGCTGATGGATGATTCTCCCTCATCGATGTTTCTAACTCTCTATCCCTCTCTCTTCCTCTCTGTGAAAAATCAATAAAATATATATATTAAAAAATAATAATAAAAAAATAATGCTTCACCCTATCTTTTTCTAGTAGCTTTTACTGAAACACCATGAAAACAGAAGCTATTTTGAGATGCTAACAAATCAAAGTTGCAAAGAAAAGAGTAAGTTTGAGGAAATTATTGTATTTAACGTGATACCACTTATTCTCTACAAAAGTTGTTCTACTTAGGTATAAAAAAAGCAGTTCTGTTTGCAATTTAAGATTAAGAAGAGGGTAAATAAAAGCATCCTTACTCAAAGGAAAAATGTCAATTCAGAAGACTCTGCTACTGTGCTGATCTGGTTCTCCAGTGTAAGGTGAACTAAGAACTTGTCTCAGCAGCACTGTTATTTGTTGTTCAGAGTGAAAAGCCAGTGAACTCTTGGGACACTGCCAGAGAGGCCTGGGAAAAAAAGAAAGCCCTCAGATTTGTGAATAGCTGTTTGTATCTTACTGGAAATGCCCGCATCTGAACCTCAGAGATAGCATTAGCACTACTGCCAAGAAGAAAATCTTTACTGGAGAGAGGAAGGGGCAACACTTGAAGGGACTTTCAAAAGCCCAGCTCGAGAGATTTGTGAGCACCTTTCATGATAGGAAAAAAGGGAAAGTCACAAGTGGTCTCCTCTATAATGCAGCCACATGGAGGCAGTGACTTGAATTGCAAACAGTGAAGTTATAGTCACAAAGAACACAGCCCTATCTAGTGTTCAAATACCCAACCACTAACCAATGGCCCTTCCCATGGAAGTTTTCCATTCCGAATGGCCAGAAAGGTGAAATTTTCCAAATGCCTGAGGACCAGAAAGAAACACTGAACATTTGAGCTGGATGAAACCTTATTAATTACCTATTGGACTACTGACTCTTCCAAAATAAAGAGTGTGGTGCTTTAAAAAAAAATTCCTTTGGCATACACAGAGAAGCAGCTTAGTTGTCTTTTAAATAAGCAAATGAATGGCTCAAACTTTGCATTTTAAAGGCTAGAAGCCCAAAGGTTTGCTCACAGCTGGGCAGAGCCAAGACTAGTGAGCCAGGTTTTCCATCTTCAGTGAGGGATCTTTTATACTTCTGGGACTTTTCTATCTACAAAAAGTAAGTCAATAGCTACAGTATGATAATGATTGCAAAATTGTGAATATACTAAAAACCACTGAATTGCGCATTTTATTTAATTTTGTTTGTTTGTTTGTTATTTCAGAGAGGATGGGAGAGGGAGAGAAACATCAATAATGAGAGAGAATCATTGATCAGCCGCCTCTTGCACAACCTCCACCAGAGATCAAGCCCAGAGCCCGCCTTCTGGCAACCATTCAGTGCACGGGGATGTGTCCAGCCAACTGAAGCACACTGGCCACGGAGGGAAATGTCCATTTTTTAAAGAAAGGTCCTCCTTTATATTTCTCCTTTTTTTTTTTTTATTAATAAAGTTATTTTTTTAGAATTTAAATTCACAACAAAATTCAATGGGATAAATAACCTGGCCACTGTGGCTTAGTGGTTGAGCATCGACCCAAAACCAAAAGGTTGCCCATTTGATTATCAGTCAGGGCACATGCCCAGATTTCTAACTCTATCCTCAATAGGGGCCATGCAGGAGGCAGCCAATTGACGATGTTTCTCTCTCATCAATGGTTCCATTTCTCTCTCTCTCTCTTTAAAAAAAAAAAAAAATTAAAAATAATTTAAAAACATACTTTTAAAAATATAAATGGAAATTACAGCGAGTACCTATACCCCTTGTATATTTTAAACACTTAAATTGCTAGTGATTGAGAAATCCTATTCTAGTTGCAATACCGAAAATAATTTTAGAGTTTTAGACATATAATTTAATGTAACTCTTTCTTTTAAAACACACAGAAACAGCCGAGACCAGTTTGGCTCAATGGATAGAGCGTCGGCTTGGGGACTGAAGGGTCCCGGGTTTGATTCCGGTCAAGGGCATGTACCTTGGTTGCGGGCATATCCCCAGTAGGGGGTGTGCAAGAGACAGCTGATCGATGACTCTCTCTCATCGATGTTTCTAACTCTCTATCCCTCTCTCTTCCTCTCTGTAAAAAATCAGTAAAATATATTTTTTTTAAAAAAGAAGAGAATATTAAAAACAAAAACAAAAACACAGAAACAAAGAATTCACACTCATATTCTCACAATTCTTTCCTAAGACATTTACCCATTTTTTTATTAAAATACTACCAATTCTTTCTGTCCATCAGATTTGTTCATTTGATTAATATCTGCTGCCACCTAGAGGTAAAAATAGTTTGTTTAAAGACAATCATCTTGAGCATGGTTAACCGGGATTTCCACTCAGAGAAACTAAGAGCAGGAGTGGGTGGAAGAGTTAATTCACCCACTTATTGATTTTTTATTTTTTATTTTATCATGTGTTATGGCCAACACTTTCAAATGACTTTTAAAGATATCCTGATTTTCTTTTGCTAGACGCTTAATAAGCCTGAGGCATAGTCATTGTTATCAATAACTTTCTTCTCCAAGTAAGCTGAGAAATGCCATTTTGCATGATATAAATGTAGCTGTTACTATTTGTCTTGAATTGTTGTTTTTATATTACCAGGATATATGACATATAATAGACATATAATTTAATGTAACTTTTAGAAAAAATCTGAGGTCATTTCCAGTCAGTGCTTACATTCTGAAAGTTCGTGGCATTTTTAGCTTTCTAATGTCAATTTAAAAAAAAAAAAAATATATATATATATATATATATATATATATATATATATATATATATATATATATATATATATATATTTGCTAGCTGGTTTGGCTCAGTGGATAGAGTGTAGGCCTGCAGATTTAAAGGTCCCAGGTTTGATTCCAGTCAAGGGCACATGCCCAGGTTGTGGGCTTGATCACTGGTAGGGGGCATACAGGAGGCAACCGATCAATGAATCTCATTATTGATATTTCTCTCTTTCTCTCTCTCCACCTCTCTCCCTCCCTCCCTCTTTTTCCTCTTTGAAATCAATAAAAATATAAAAATATATATGTATATTTTTTACTTCAGAGAGAAAGAGAAAGGGAGAGAGAGAAACATCAATGATGAGAGAGAATAATTGATTTGCTACATCCTGCATGCCCCTACCAGGGATCGAGCCCACAACCTGGCCATGTGCCATGACCAAGGAATCATCAACCTCCTGGTTCATAGGTTGATGCTCAACCACTGATCTTCATCCTTAGGGCCCTAATATCTATTTTTTTTAAATTGAAATATTCCAAGCACAAAACACAGTACAGAGAATAACAATTTCACATTCAATATTTCATTTTATCTAAAAACTATAAACCTGGTGCACAAATTCGTGCACTTGGGGCAGGGGTGGGGGTCCCTCAGTCCGGATTGTGAGAGGGTGCAGGCCAGGCTGAGGGACCCCACTGGTGCATGATCAGGGCCAGGGAGGGATGCAGGAGGTTGGCCAGCCAGGGAGGGACCGCAGGAAGGTTCCAGGGTGGGTCCAGCCCGTCTCGTTCAGTCCCCATCAGCGGGACCCCAGTAGCAAGCTAACCTACTGGTTGGAGCGTCTGCCCCTCCAGTGGTCAGTTTGTGTCATAGCAACTGGTTGACCTGTTGACTGTCTGCCCCCTGGTGGTCAGTGAATGTCATAGTGAGCAGTTGAGCAGCCTTAGCATATGATTAGCATATTATGCTTTGATTGGTTGAATGGCCAACAAGAAGACCGGACACTTAGCATATGAGGCTTTTATTATATAGGATAACTCTGAGGTGGACAAGAACAAAGGGAAATGAAAGATTTTTTCCTGAGTGTCTACTAAGTGCCAGGCATTTTATATCTAGGCATTTCTCAAATGTCTTTTGAGGTCAGTATGATCAACCTTATCCATAGATGACAATGTTTTAAGGCTCAGGGAGATTAAGGCACTGGTACAGGTCACATAGCTGGGAATATCAGAGATGGGACCCAGCAGATGTGTCTGACTCTAAAATGTCTGGTTATTTTCTAGTATTTACTATTTTGCTTCCACTTTTCAACACCTTCTTGAAATAGGCAGGGCAAATATTGTTGTCCCCATTCTACAGAAAAATTCGGAGGTTCAGAAAGGTAAAACAAGTTGCCCAAATTCACACAAATAACTAACAAGTGGCAGGAATGAATAAGACCCAAGCTTTTCATTCCACATTCATTTTTCTTCCCGTCAAACTAACTTATTTTTTAAATTAAAAAACCTGGAAAGAAAATAATATTTATAAATTTTCAACTATATTTATTTGCTTAATTATGTGCTTTACTAGTTATCTAGACTAGAAATGAGAAATTCATCTAAGAAGATAGGAAATTATTTCAGTAAGCCTATTGTTTCTGAACTTTAGAAATAATGGTTTTACTGAAAAATTACAGACAGTAAAGTATACAAGTCCAACAGATACAGCTTGACAAATTTTTACATATAGATATATCAGTGAACTATTGCCTTTATCAAAGTTTCTGGACATTTTAATGAGCTACATCCTTATATTTTTTTTTATACATGGAATTTTATTTATTTTCCTTTTTATTGAATGTATTGGTGTGACACTGATTTAAAAAATTATATAGGTTTTAGGTGCACAATTCCACAAGCATCATTTACATTTTAAACCCAGATGCAAGGCCAGAGAATCTTGACTGCCCATGTATATCAATAGAGATTTTTATGATACAACCAAGTAAGCTAAGATTGTATAAATCTCTAAATTTTTGCCAGAATTGACAAAAGGAGAAGCAGTACAGTCACTCTTTTGGGAGACATTTAACAATAATCCATGTACTGTCTTTTACGGCCTGAGACCCTCTGACAGCATAAAGAAAAATTTTTCTTGCTATGAGATTGGCAACTGTGATTATGCCACCTTAGTTCTCAAACTATGAAAAGACCTTTTCTCAGAAAACAGACTACATATCTGCATGAAAGGAGAAACATGACATTTGCAAATACAAGTCAAAAGTTCAAGTCCTCTCCACTTTTTTTCCTGTTTCGTTTATTTTCTGTTTCTATTGAAGCGAAGGGAGACACTACCCTCGACAGCGGCCTCTGTCGGTATCCTCAATTAAGAAAGGACACTATGACAGCATCTCACCATTGGCCTGAGGGGGATAATAAAGGGGATTAGAATCCACTCCCCACAGGATAACTACTTGGTTCATTCATTTCTTCAACAAATATTTGCTGAGTGATTACTATGTGCCAGGCATTGTCCCAGGCACTGCTGGGATAGATATATCAATGGACAAACAATGCCCCATGACACATTCGAGAAGATAAGGTGAAGCACTGGGCATTTGTTCTACCATCCTCTCCAGCCCACAAGGACTAACTTTGAGCCTGATCCATCCAGACATGTGAAGAATCTTCAGAGAGAGGGCAGTAGTAGTGTGGGTAATATCTAGATACTGTTTGGCAATGAATTCTTAGAGAGAAAAAGGAGTCTGAAATTTCTATTTCTTGGAGTTCCATCTGGTTGCAATCAAAGATCAAAATAAGGTCAGGTTCAGAGAGGAGAGGTCTCCCTAATTGTGGCAGCCAATAAAACACTCACTGGTTTTTGGAGTCGTCCAGCAATGTATAAGTTATTCCAGTAGAGGAGATCTTCAATCAGATTATTAGTGCTTATAACCCCATATTTGATAAGCTGGAAAAGAAAAGAAATAGACATGAAAAGAAGCAAAACACCCATATCGTTGTTTATGCAAATGCAAAATATAAAGAAATATATTTCTGCCCAGAGTAGTACCTTGATTTCCAAAGCCACTCAAAGCCTACTTTGTGAGAGAATCCAAGATGGCTGCCCAGGTAAACATCTAGCCGCAGCCACACACAACAATTTCAATAAAATACAACTAAAATATAAAATGGACATTACCCAGAACTACAGGAAAGTCGACTGACTGGAAATTCTACAACGAGAAGCAAGGAGAAGGCCAGAAGGAAGAGCGGAGAAGCTGTAAAAGCCTAAGGTATGGAGACGCGCCGCGCGCGGAGAGGACGGAGCTGGAGAGGAGGGGCAACTGAGTGCCTGGCTGGTGTTCCCTAGCAGAAAGGAGATAAAAGCTCCGACTGTGCTGGGCCCCAGTTCCGAATGCTCTGAACCCCAGTTCTAGGCCAGACCCCGGGGACCCAGGCTCATCCAGAGGGAGCTGGGCTGTAAGGTGGAACCCCAGGGGAGCAGTGAAAGGAGGTCCCGGCGGCGCGCACAATTGCGTGCAGAGAAGGGACGGTCGGCTGTGCCGCGGGATTGCCCTGGCAGGAAGGAAATAGGGGCTCTAGACTGCTCTGAATGCCACCTCCAATCCCACTACCAACTGAACTGAACCTCAGTCCCGGGCTCATTGGGGGAGACCTAGACTGGTAACAGGTGAAAATCAAGGGCACCTTTCTCTCAGAGGTGCTTGCAACTAACTGAAGGACCCTGGGGATTACTGAGACCCAGGAACCGCATAGGGCGGGGCTGATGGAAGCCAAGGCTGTAGGCTCCACCCTGAAACTCCGTCCCATCTGTAGCTGCGAAATGCGACAACGAAATAGATCACAAACGAAAGAAATGGAGGACAAAAAGCGACTGGATACAGAGTTCAAATCTATGCTTATAAGGTTTTTCAAGAATTTCCTAGAAAAGATCAATAAGACCTATGAGGATATGAAAAGAGATCAACTAGAATTAATAAGGAATCAACAAGAAATGATAAGGGATCAGCAAGAAATGATAAGGGATCAACAAGAACTGATAAGGGATCAACAAGAAATAAAGAATACATTGTCTGAAATAAAAAATATTATACAGAGTCCTAAAAACAGAATGGAAGATCGCAAGAATCAAGTCAAAGATTTGGAACATAAAGAGCCAGGAGACACTCCTCCACAGAAGCTAGAAGGCAAGAGAATCCAGAAAATTGAAGATAATGTAAGAAACCTCTGGGACAACTTCAGGTGAACCAACATCAGAATTATGGGGGTCCCAGAAGATGAGAGCGAGCAAGATATCGAAAACATACTGAAAGAAATAGTGACAGAAAACTTCCCCCACCTGGTGAAAGAATTAGACTTACAAGTCCAGGAAGCGCACAGAACTCCAAACAAAAGGAATCCAAAGAGGACCACACCAAGACAAATCATAATTAAAATTCCAAGAGCAAAAGACAAAGAGAGAATATTAAAAGCAGCAAGAGCAAAGAAGGTAGTTACCTATAAAGGAGCATTTATACGATTGTCAGCTGATTTCTCAACAGAAACCATGCAGGCCAGACGGGAATGGCAAGAAATATTCAAGGTGATGAATAGTAAGAACCTACAGCCAAAGATAATCTATCCAGCAAAACTATCATTCAGAATCGAAGGTCAGATAAAGAGCTTCACTAATAAAAAAAAGCTAAAGGAGTTCATCACCACCAAACCAGAATTATATGAATTGCTGAAGGGGGTTCTTTCAGAAGAGCAAGTAAATAAAGATAAAAATTATGAACAACAAATATGTAACTATTAACAAGCGAATCTAAAAACCAAGGAAATTAAAAAAAAATCTGATGAACAATATTAACTGTTGAATATAATAGAATCAGAGGTATGGAAGGGGAGTGAACTGACGATTCTTGGGGAAATCCGGAGACGGGGATGTGGGAAGAGACTGAACATAAACTGTGCACCTATGGATGAGGACAATGGGGGTGGGGAAAGGGCAGAGGGTGGGGTGGGAACCTGGTGGAGGAGAGCAATGGAGGGGATGGGGGAAAAGGAACATTTGTAATAATATGAACAATAAAAATTTATTTTTAAAAAAATGTCTACTTTGTAAACACACCCATCTTTACCAAAAATTTTCGCAAAGGATACGTTTCCAAGACTGATTTGTCCCCTCAGGTATATGAGATCACATGACCACTATTTTAACTCAGGCTCTTGTGATGTTAAAAGGCAGAATGGCTCTTAGAGGCCATCTAGTGCTGGTCCTCAATGAACTGGAAATAAAAAATTGGTCCTTCAGCACAGACAGTTTGAGTACCTAAATTTCATGCTTCTCCCTTGAGAAATAAGAAACTTGAGGCTCAGAGAGGATAAACGACAAGCCCAAGGTGGCATCATTAGAAGCAGAGACAAAATTAGGTCCCTGAATGTTAGTCTGGGCTTCCAATGCTCATTTTACCACCAACTACAAGAAATTTTGTTTATATAATTAAAAGTTTTTTACTTACATCCTTTACATGTAAATTTCTCTTCACTATGGACTATTCTCGACACTTTTATAATTACAAAGCAACATCTAAATATAATTCATCTCTATCAGTGCTGAACATGGAATTATGGTCAAGCTCATGCCACAGTAATTTGCACAAACTCTGAATGCAGTTGTTCCAGGTTACAAAATCCTATTTGTTTCAACAAATATCTCTGGCCTCGTTCTGCTGAACTTCAGTATCCCAATGGCCTTCTCAGGCTACAAATATCTAAGAAGTAGCTAAAGAATTTTAATTAAAAAGTACAATCCCTTTGGCATATAATTATGCCCAAATGTTTGGTTACTGGAGCTTTTAATATTGTTTGAAACTACCAATTAGAGATAGGCTCAGCATAATATTCATTATGGGCAAAGAACAAAGCTACGTGCGTGGCATCACTAAAGTGCACATGGAAGGCTGTGCTGAATAACCTGCCCTCCGCTCCAGCTACAGTCTTGCGGGAAGCCTTCTTGCTGGAGGCGTGCAAAAGCTGGGAGGTAACAGAAACACCACTGGCCTGAAGCCAGGGGCCTGTCTCTGCCTCGTTGCCTGAGCTTATGGAACTTATTTTCTCTATGAGTCTTGTGTTGTTGTTTTTTTTCATCTGAAAGTGCAAGTGGAGCAGGATTGGCCCTCAGCCAAAAAGGTAAATTCGGGGCCCAAAGGTTATGCAGGACATCACCAATAATCACAGCGCTCCTTCCTGCCGAGTTCAGATAGGTCTTCAAAATCCCGCCCAGTCAGGTACTCACCCTCCTGGCCTTCAAAGTGTGGCCCGCTGACCAATAACATCAGCATCACCTGGGAGCTTGACAAAATTACAGAATCTCAGGCTCCATTCCAGACCAAACTGAATCAGAAGCTGCGTTCGACAAGAGCTTTAGGTGACTGAGCATCAAAGTCACCGGCACTGAGCAGAGGTGGCACAGCTGGTGGACCCCGTCTGTCATCCTTAGCCCCGCTTACCTCTAGGAGGCTGGATTTAGTGCCCGGTGGTCTTCTTAAGTTGTTCTCCTGCCTAGTTCTCGGCAGCCCTCCTAGACATTGGGCTCCTTTGTCTGAAAGAGAGTCCAGCAGGGTTTCTGCTGCCAGACAACCCTTTGCCGGGATCCAGGCATCTTACCTGCTCTCCAGCAATTCACTATCAGGTTCCACCCACCTGCTGGCACCAAGAGGTTCCTACACGTGGCATGCTCCTAAATACCTATAATATCCTCTTCACTTCCAAATTCCTTCTGGAAGAATGTCAGTCCTTCCATATAGATAAGATTATTTTCCACTTTGGTCCTTAATGTGCCACTGACTAAACCATTGGTTCTCAAAGTGTGTTTTCCAGACCAGCAAGAAGCTTGTTAGAGAGTAAACCTTTTGCCCTAACCGGTTTGGCTCAGTGGTAGAGCGTTGGTCTGTGGACTGAAAGGTCCCGGGTTCGATTCCGGTCAAGGGCATGTACCTTGGTTGCGGGCACATCCCCAGTAGAGAGTGTGCAAGAGGCAGCTGAATAGATGTTTCTCACTCATTGATGTTTCTAACTCTCTATCCCTCTATAAAAAAATCAATAAAATATATTTTTTTAAAAAGAGAGTAAATCTTTAAAGTTCTCATCACAAGAAAAAACAATTGTAACTATGGGTGGGTATGGATACTAACTAAACTTATGGTGATCATTTCATAATATATACATATATCCGTGTTGTACACCTAAAATTAACACAATGTTATATGACAATTATATCTCAATTTACAAAAAAAAAAAAAAAAAAAAAAGTAAAGCCTCGAACCCTATCCCAGACTTACTGAATCACAAAATCTGGGGTGGGGCCCAGCAATCTGTGTCTAACAGGCACTCTAGGGAATTGCAATGCACATTAAAATGTGAGAACCACTTGGTCAAAGGCAAAAAATAAAGCCAGTCACATTTGACCACCTTCATCTAGCAAGAGCTTAAACAGTTCCTGAGTGCAAGAATATACACATTTAGCTAGTATTCTAACAACAAAGGTTAATAATAACCCAAGAGAAGTCAAAGGCCAAGGTCGCTTACCCGATTATCACACATGATCAACGGATTGTAGTAAACTCCAGCGCCGTAGTTATTCTGGACAGTGGTGATAACCTTGGGCCCCAAAACCTTTAGGAAAGAGTAATGGCTCCGATTTTTCTTTAGGTTCTTGGAATGCCACGCAATAGGGTCATCTACTGTGAACACAAAGTCCAGCATGGCTGTCTGGAAGGTGAAGAAAAGAGAATGATTTTAATTTTAATTCCAGGAAAGGCACCCAGATAACAGCGGAAAGTTCTAAAGTTTTATGCCATGATGACTAATAAAAGGCCTGGGATTTTCAAAAGAAATTTAAGCAAGCCTCTGGAACCAATCTGAGCTTTGTTTTCATCGATACACGTAACAACAAGGCCTATTTAACATGTACTATCATGCCAACACTCTTCTAAACACTTTATATATTATGTTTATAAAATACATATTATATATATGTATATATAACGTATATACAGTAACTCATTTTATCCTCAAAGCAAGGTAGGCACTGTTACTATCCCAAGTTTTTGGAAGAAAGCCACAAGGCACAGACTAAGTTCCTTGCCCAAGGACACATAGCTGACGACAGCAGATAAAATCTGGTACCAAATCCTGTGTGCTGAACCACTGTTGGACACTGCCTTTCCTATAAATGCTGCTGAATATGCTCCACTTTTCTTCCAGATGAAATAACCCGTGGATAAGCTCTACACAGTATTATGTAAAGGGAAATGTTAATTTAACTCTCGCCCGTTTGCCAGTCACTCACTGAGGACCTACAGTGAGCTCCGATAGATCAGGAGGTATAGTAGTAAAGAGGTCAAAGCCTACTGAGGAAACAGACAAATCGTCAGTAAATGGATTTGACAGAAGAATGCAAAATGCACTAAGTTCACTCAAAATTGGGTCAACAGGAAGGAAAAAACTTGCGATACAATGACATTTTTGAAGACTGATCACCTGAGTCTTGAAGAATGTACAAGAGTTAAAAGCAGGCCTGCTGGAAAGGGAGTCCTGTTGGAGGAAAACCCTCTGTGGACATGAGAACGGGGCATGCCCTGTGTGCTGCATTTACTAGTACTATGATTGGCAAACCGCGGCTCTCGAGCCACATGCGGCTCTTTGGCCCCTGGAGTGTGGCTCTTCCACAAAATACCACGGCCTGGGCGAGTCTATTTTAAAGAAGTGGCGTTAGAAGAAGTTTAAGTTTTAAAAATTCGGCTCTCAAAAGAAACTTCAGTCCTTGTACTGTTGATATTTGGCTCTGTTGAGTAATGAGTTTGCCGACCACTGTACTAGTAGTTTGCTATGGCTGGATTAGAACGCAGGCAGGGGAGTGGTGGGAGATGAGACAAGATAGGGAGGCTGGAGGTCATAACAAGAAATTTTCCTGCGGAAGAGTTCGCTGGGAGGAGAAAATAAAGGCTGGGAAACCACATTGGAGGCCAACAGCAAGATTCCATGAGGAAAGAAGACACTAAGGCAATGAAGGGTAGAGAGACAAATCTGACAGAGACTTATGTGTTGGAATCTGCAAGACCTATTAACCTTAGGAAATGAAAGAGAGGGAAAGCAAAGGAAGGGACTTTTCTTGGAGGGAATTCCACCTCTGCTCAAAGGAAAATTTTCATGGGAAAATGAAGATGCAGTTAGAGTCAGGAGGCTAAGGTTTCCCCAAAAAAACTGGATACTTAAGATTTCAGGTTAACGTGTTTTTAAAAATTGTATAATTATGTTATTTTTTTAAAAAAAAATAACCAGCCTATAAGAACCTATAATTTATACACTTATAATCTGTAATTTCTCAGATGCTGTCAGTTTTTTTTATGTTTTTTTAAAATATATTTTATTGATTTTTCTTACAGAGAGAAAGGGAGAAGGATAGAGAGCTAGAAACATCAATGAGAGAGAAACATCCACCAGCTGCCTCTTGCACACCCCCTACCGGGGATGTGCCCGCAACCAATGTACATGCCCTTGACTGGGACCTTTTAGTCCGCAGACTGGTTTCGGCCATAGGCTGTCAGTTTAAAAAAAAAAAAAAAAGTATTACTTAAAAACTAGTATAGCCTTGGCTGCTGTGGCTCAGCTGGCTGAAGCATCATCCCATACACCAAAAGGTTGCAGGTTTCCAAGTCAGGGCACATACCTAGGTTACAGGTTTGATCCCCAGTCTGAGGTATTCAGGAGGCAAATAACTGAGATTTCTCTCTCTTCCCCCTCCCCCTTTCTTCTTTCTTTTCTTTTTTTTTTTTTCTTTTCTTTTTTTTTTTTTTAAGCTTCTCAGGGTATTCAAGCTTCAGAACACTGAGCTAGCGCCTGGCAAATATTTCATCTCTACCACCTTGGCCTCTGCATCAGCTTTTCCCTCCACATAATTGCATCTCCTGCTCTAGACGTTACGCGGGCTCGCGCTACTTGTCCGAAAGAACTCCGCTGCCGCCGTGGTCAGAGCGGGGCGCTGTCACACGGAGTGTGTCCTCTGCGGGCTGAGGGGGGATGCGCGGAGCAGACCCGCAGGCAGCTCTGGGGCGCCGGGCGGGGATAGGAAAGGCGAAAGGAAAGGCGTGGGGCCGGCTCCGGGCCGGGCTCACCTTCAGGTTGGAGCTGGGCCCCGCCTGGCGGAACACCCCCGAGCCATAGGCGAACGCCAGGCTCAGCTCCTCGGGGAAGTGAGACAGGATCTTGCGGAAGGCCACCCCCGAGCTCTGCAGCGCCTGCAGCGCCATGGGCCGCGGCGGAGGGAGGCCAGCACCCTCGGCGCAGCCGGGCCGAGGGCGGCGGACCGATAACCGGCAGGGGGTGAAGGGCGGGAGATGGAAGACGGGGCCCGGCCTGAGCGCGGGAATTCTGGCGCCGGAGAAACGAGCAGCAAGGACCAAGGTGCCGGTGGCCCCGGCGAGCGGCCAGCCCCAGCCACGCCTCCGCACGCACGCGCGCTCTCAGGGCGCAGGAGAAGGCGCCCGCCCGTGTGTGAGGGCGCCAAGGGCTTGCGGAGACCCCTGGTGGTCGGAGGAGCTCACTGCAGGCTGGGGGACAGCGTTGTTGGCTAATGGAACTGCTTTTTTTGTTCTCGCCTCAAACCACATTTTAATAAATGACTATAAAATCGTGCGTGTGTATGGCAGATTTTTTTTAAATAGCGGTTACTTTTTTAAAAAAATATTTTTTATTGATTTTTCACAGAGAGGAAGAGAGAGGGGTAGAGAGTTAGAAACATCAATGAGAGAGAATCATCCATCAGCTGCCTCTTGCACACCCCCTACTGGGGATGTGCTCGCAATCACTGTACATGCCCTTGACCAGAATCGAACCTGGGACCTTTCAGTCCGCAAGCCGATGCTCTATCCACTGAGCCAAACGGGTCCCGGCAGAAGATTTTTTTTTTTTTTTTTTTTTTAACGAGGTGGATTTTCACATAACAAAATTGTACACTTTGCTACGTAGAATTCAGTGGCATTTAGAACATTCATCATGTTGTGCAACCGTTTTCTGTAGCTCACAACGAAAGTGTAGATTTTTCAAAGTTTAGGAAAACACAAATAAAGTTAAAACCATGTCCACCCCAGAGACTATCACTGTTAATATGTGGCTGTGATTTCTTCCCATTAAAGTCCATTTCAAGTCCAATGATGGGTATGAAAGTGCTCCATAGATGGTAAAGGACTACACCTATGTCCTCTCCTATTTGTATTTAATATCCAGAGTGGAGAACAGATTCTGCCCCTTTGCCTTGGGGGTTAACCTCACACACACACAAAAAAAAGGTGCATGAAGTGTTTCTTGTGAATAAACATGACCCCAGGTCGCTTTGTGTAACTGGAGAAACGTGTTTAGGATCACAGGGCCATTCAGGATGTAGTCTGACTTCCAGGACAGAGACTTTTCAAAGTACTCTTCTTTTTCCCTGCATACACTGCCTCTCAAAAAATAAAAGAAGTAGTAACAGCTAGATTTGGATAATGTTGATGCATTTCACATGAATATTTAATTGAGTCCCTCCCCTCTGCTGTCCTGTGGGAGGCAGTTATTGCCTCCATTTTAGGGACGAAGAAGCTGAGTCGGAGAGAAAAGGCAATGTGACTAGGATTGCGTCAGCTTGAGGCAAAACTGGAGCTGAAACCTAGGTCCCCGTCCACATCCTACAATCCTACTAGTCCTGGAAGTGTTTTTGAGCAGGGACATGTTGGGCTCAAATGTTAGCCTGGGTTGGCGTGGGGGAACTGTTACCATGGTTTCGCTGTGAACTAAAGACTCCTGGCCTGGGGTTGATAAAGGCTGGGATGGGATTAATTCAACTTGAAAGATGATTATTTGAATTTCAACCTAAACCTGGCACTGAGATTAAGTGCTGAGGATTTGAGATGCTTTGCAGGAGCTCCGGGTCTGTGGAAGAGACTAACAAACCAACCCAGAATATAAAGCACAGCATGAAGTTGGGTGCCCAACACCCTGCAGGACCTCTGGTGAGGGAGTGTTAATCAGTTCTGGGTGTGCAAGGAGAGAATGGAAGAGATTTCGCAGTGATGGCATCTGAGCCAGGCTTTGAAGGATGAGTAAGAGTCTATAAGGCAGAAGATATCAGGAAGAAGAATTGATAGGACACAGTAACAATAATAATAAATGAAATTTGTTTATTTACTTACTATTTCAGCCGAAACCGGTTTGGCTCGGTGGATAGAGCGTCAGCCTGCGGACTGAAAGGTCCCAGGTTCAATTTCGGTCAAGGGCATGTACCTTGGTTTTGGGCACATACCCGGTGGGGGATGTGCAAGAGGCAGCTGATTGATGATTCTCTCTCATCCATGTTTCTAACTCTTTATCCCTCTTTCTTCCTCTCTGTAAAAAATCAATAAAATATATTTTTTAAAGTATTTCTTTTCTATTCCAAGACATCTACCTTTTCCCATTATTCCAAAGGCCCCATGAAGCAGGTTCTTCAAGAGTATCATTTTTCAGACCAAAGGCCTGGTGCATAAAATTCGTGCCTGGGAGGGGGCTGTCCCTCAGCCCAGCCTGTGACCTCAGGGGATGTCCCACTGCTGGTTTAGGCCTGGAATCTCTCTTACAATCTGGGATGCTACATGCACCAGTGACCATACTTTTCATACAGGTGAAAGGTGTCTCGCTGTTGCATGGGCAGCTACATTTTTTTGCCCAGGTTATAAAAAGTAGTACATAACATGATCCTTCTGGGGCAATAGTACCATTTCCCCCATCTTATGGGTAGAAAAACTGAAACAGAGAGAAGTTAAGTAATTGACTTTGTCACACAGTTATAAGTGTCAGAATCAGGGCTGACCACAAAATGTGCAAGCCAGAGTCCATGCATGTCATCGCTTCATCATCCTGTTTTTTCAGTGGTAGAGTAGCCTTGCCAGGTTTTAATTTTTAAATCTAAGAAACTGTTCCCAATATATAGGGCAGGGTCTCTAGGCCTGGCCAGTGATTAGGGCTGATCTGTGGGGCGACTGGCAGGCAGGGTGATGGGGGGAGGGGTCCCCCATTGGCCGGCCCTGCTCATATCTCTCTCCCTCCTCCCCATCATCTTCATCTCGGGGGCAGTAGAGGTGCTGACCAGTCGTTCCCCTGTTTGGCAGATTTGCATATTAGGGGTTTATTATATAGGATGAAGAAACAGAGTGCCTAAAAGGAGAAGCAAATTTCCAAAATACACACAGGAGACTTTAACCCAGAGCTCCCATGCATCAAAGGCCAAGCTCTTTACCACTTTGTCTTAGTGACTTCTAAAACAGGCAGCTTCTGAGGCAAGAGCGAGAAATGAGATGTCAGCTGGTTCTGTTCCGTCAGCCAAGGTTGAACAGCAGCAGCAGTAGCTGAAGGGATGAGAGAGACCAGAATAAGTGCTGCAAGAGGGAGACGAGTGTGTCTCAGCTTCTCTCCAGGAGCAAAACCATTTTGGTTCATTCTGAGCAAATACCACCCTTGCCCGATTGCCAGAATCTGAAATGCATTTACTGCAGGATTACACTGAAACCTTTCACCCCAAGATAGTGAATAAATCTCTACCAGCCATGTTATGTTTTCTGCTCTCCTCCCTTTTGGCAATAATTCGACTTTGTTTTGTGTGTGTGTGTGTGTCCCCCACCCCCCGTCTCTCTGCAAAAGTAATCCATGCTTATAAAAATGTAAACATTACAAAAATATGTATAACCATCCCCCCAGAGATAGTCTCTGATAATCTTTGATACACATTCCTCCAGATGTTCTTCTATGAATATGTAAACATTAAAAACATTTTTTTAAATGGAATTGTAGGATACTATTTTGTAATTTGCTTCCCCCGCCCCCCCCTCCCCCCACTTAACATATCAGGGTCATCTTTCTGTGTCAGAATATTTAGATCTACCTCATTCTATTTATTAGCAGCAACATTTTTAAAACTATGGATATGCCATCATTTGCTTAAATATTTTCATGTGGACAGATGCAGAGTATTTCCATTTCCATACGTGCAAACAATGCTACAGTGAACATCCTTGTAATAGAGGCTTTTGGGTACATTGCTGCATCACAATGTCAGCACATTGCTAAAAATCCCCTCCAAAAGATTGTGCCACGTCCAGCCCTTGATATACATAAAGATTCTGCAATGCTTTTCTATTTTTCAGGCTTGCAGGCTTTCACGCCTAATTATCAGTCATTTTCACAAACACTTTCCTTCCTGATAATGCAAAACCACCGGCTGGAAAGTTCCATCACATTCCTGAGTGCATTCGCTTCTCTCCAGAAAGAGGCAGAAGCAATGTAGCAGAGAACACATTTGTATTCGCCAGCAGAAATCTCCCTGCTCCCAGCGGTTCATCTGCTCCTTTTTAAATTACCGTGGCTTGTGAAGTTAGAAGCTATTAAAAAGCCCTAGTGTTCTATATAATCGCTTTAGGGTTCTGTTGGAACTCTCATACCAATAAAATAAAAATGTTCCAGAGCCATTTTCAAATACAGATAAATGCCATTTTATTTGAGTGAATATGGGACCTCATTTTTCTGATTTATCCAGCTGTTGGCTTTGTATTTCTTAACAATGACCTTGTCAGGCAAGGCTTCACCAGGGGAATGTTCACCTATTCCATTCTTTAAAAAAAAAAAAAAAAAAAAAAAAAAAACACACAACAAAAAAACAAAAAAAAAAACCCTGTAAAATCTCTATAACTTTCATGACTGGGTTTTTCTTCTAATCAGTTTTAAGTGAAGGACAGAAAATGTTTGGGGGTGGGGGGGGCGGGAATCAAGCTCTATGGTTCTTACAATTATCCATATGTTCAACTGATGGAGGTGAAGGAGAGGAATCTTGATTTCCATATCCTCAGAGAAGGATCATTCTGTCGCATCAGTCCATTCTCAGTTGATTGATGTGTCATAACATGGCCAGACTGAGAGAATCTTTAATACATCGTTAGTCTCTGAGGTATCAGCTGGGCTTAAATCTGGGCCCCAGGAGTTCACAGCTGTGTGATCTTGGGCAAGACAACTGAAGCTCTTTGTGCCTTTTTCTCCCCATTTGTAGGGTGATCATAGATTGCTAGGCCAATAAAGGAAAGTATATAAAAGGGTGCCTGCCCCAGAATAAACTCGCAGTAGGTGTTCTCCATCTTATTTAATTCTTCAGAGGAATTAGGAAGCATAATTATGGCATTTATCATTTTACACAAAGCATTTTCCAGACATGATTTTAATTAATACTAAAAACAAATCCCAGGGAATGAGT